CCCCCAAGAATAACATGCAACACAGAGGGAAAACAGGGAGGACCGCATTGAAAGATGCTTCTGGGTCGAGGCTGCGCCGCTTGCCCGGTTCAACAGCACCATCTCCTGGGGGCCTCGGCAGCTCAGCCCCCGAGAGCAGCTCCCCAGGGACACCCTCCGCAACCTTCCTCTGGAGCCACCTGAAATTTTTAGTTTATCTGCTTTTATTTGCTTTCCTTTCAGGCAGCATCAGCCTTCTTGCACCTGTTTCCTTTCACATATTACTGCTTCTGTCTCATGGAGCATCACAGACAGATGAGTGAATACATTAAATACTGAAGGAATGTATGTCCCAGATTCTGCATATTTTTAAAATCAGCAGTACAAGACACTTGAATACCAGCCCTAAAACTGATCTCTTCCAAGCTGTGAAGGTTTGAATATGTACCTAGCCTTCATGGACCACATCCTCTTTGAAGTAATCAGAAGACACCACTTTTCAGAGAATACCTGAATTTTCTTTAAGAAAAAAAAAAATCTCCCCCCCCCAAAAAAAAAAAAACCAAACCCAAAGAAAAAAAAATCTAAATCTGCTGGGAGAGCTGTTTAGATTTGTTTTAGACAAGTGAAATTGTGGATAAGAACAGAAACGTTAGGTTTCATAGTATTACCATTCAACAGAGAAACCTTCCCTGACAAGCAGTATTTCAAAGATACTCATTGTAGTGTATATTTGAAAGCTCTAAAACACTTGTTGAGATAATCCTGTAAAACCATGTGTTTTTCACTCACTAGACCATAGGTTTAAGACTAAAGGCTCCAAAACTTTATTCGCTCTACAGCTGTACTTGTATAGTACAAGTAGCCAATCACTTCTCTATTTCAGTTTATTTTAGTCTGCAAAATGAAGATTTGAGTGCCCTACCTCACTGTTTTGAGGCTAAATTGTACATAAAATGCTTCAGACTTTGAAGAACATGCTTATATAACAAGCAAAAAAGCGTAATTCAATGATTTTTTTTTCCTAATTCAACACTCCTCCAAAGCCCCTTATGACTAAATTTAACTGTTAAATGCCAGGTAAAATTTTACAGAAGCTCATCTTTAAAAGATGCTAAGTAAGCACCCTGTGCAAGCGTTATGTTAGAAGGGACAACATATAACTACAAAAACATAGGCATACGTGCCAGCAACTCAGTGTGTGTGTGTGAGTAGGAGCAGTCTCATGAATTTTTATGTAGAACAGCTGCAACAATTTAAAAAAAAAAAAATCATTATCTCTCCACTGCTGGTTAGAATTAACTTCTTTAATTAGCAAAACTGTTTCAAAATTAATATTGAACTTGGTCCTTGGACTCTTCTTAGGTCCTTACAAACCATCACCACCTGCACATATTTAAGGTAAACAAGGTACTTTGGAAATTACAGCATGTAATCAACAGCTAGAGAAAAGTTTCTAGTGACTCCCTCCATCTTTAAGGAAGTGTAGTTGTTTATTTACTCTGATTCAAAAGGTCTTAAAACATTAAAATCATTTGGGAATAAAAGTCACCCTTGAAAGGTTTCCTTTCTTCTTGACAGGGGAGCACAAGCCAGCAGCCTGCTGTTCTGCAAGTATTTATGGCATCTGATTAACAAGAAGTTATCTTCAAAACTGTGAAGATATGAATGCTTGCTGATTATAGACAGTACTGCATGTTCTTCTCAGCCACACCCTACAACTACTATGAACTTTTATACAGTACGATGGTCTTTCTAACTAAAACTGCCTTTGCTCCTGGCCGACTCCCTTACTTCCAGGGAAGCAAGGCATGTGCAAGAAGCTGGATGATAAGGGAAACTTTGTAAATCAGAATCTTAGCTACTTCAGTCCTATTTTCCATGTAGCTAAAACTTGCTTTTCCTAAAAGATATGTTGGGATAGGCCTCAAGTAGTTAAATCAGTCAGGAGTTTCTATAGCCATGACCAGGCCACGTAAGAAGAGCAGTGCTGTAAGACAGAAGTATTCAAAGAAACAAGCAGCAGCCCAACAAGGAAGTTGTGGTGGTTTGACGCTGGCTGGATGCCAGGTGCCCACCAAAGCCGCTCGATCACTCCCCTGCTCAACTGGACAGGGGAGAGAAAATACAACGAAAAAGCTCGTGGGTTGAGATAAGGATGGGAGATCACTCTGCAATCACTGTCACAGGCAAAACAGACTTGACTTCGGGAAAATCAGTTTAATTTATTACCAGTCAAATCAGAGTAGAAGAGAGCAGTGAGAACATGTGTAGGGTAATGAGAAATAAAACCAGATCTTAAAACACCTTCCCCCCACCACTCCCTTCTTCCCAGGCTCAACTTCACTCCCGATTTTCTCTACCTCCTCCCCCCGAGCAGCGCATGGTGACGGGGAATGGGGGTTGCGGTCAGTTCATCACACGTTGTCTCTGCCGCTCCTTCCTCCTCAGGGGAGGGCTGCTCACACTCTTCCCCTGCTCCAGTGTGGGGTACCTCCCACGGGAGACAGTCCTCCATGAACTTCTCCAACATGGGTCCTTCCCATGGGCTACAGTTCTTCACAAACTGCTCCAGCGTGGGTCCCCCACGGGGTGCAGTCCTTCAGGAGCAGACTGCTCCAGCGTGGGTCCCCCACGGGGTCACAAGTGCTGCCACCAAACCTGCTCCAGTGTGGGCTCCTCTCTCTCCACAGGGCCACAGGTCCTGCCAGGAGCCTGCTCCAGTGTGGGCTTCCCATGGGTTCACAGCCTCCTTTGGGCACACCCACCTGCTCCGGTGTGGGGTCCTCCCTGGGCTGCAGGTGGATATCTGCTCCACCATGGACCTCCATGGGCTGCAGGGGCACAGCTGCCTCACCATGGTCTTCACCATGGGCTGCAGGGGAATCTCTGCTCCAGTGCCTGGAGCACCTCCTCCCCCTCCTTCTCCACTGACCTTGGTGTCTGCAGAGTCGTTCCTCCCACATATTCTCACTCCTCACTCCAGCTGCAGTTTGTGTCCTGGTGTTTTTGGGATCTTCCCCCCCCGCTTCTTAAATATGTTATCACAGAGATGCTGTTGCTGATGGGCTCGGCCTTGGCCAACAGTGGGTCCATCTTGGAGCCGGCTGGCATTGGTTCTATTGGACACCGGGGAAGCTTCTAAGCAGCTTCTCACAGAAGCCACCCCTGCAGCCCCCCCGCTACCAAAACCTTGCCATGCAAACCCAATACAAAAGTCAAAACCAAATAATGAACAACAGCTTCTTCCAGAGCAGTGTTTTCATCTCAAGCCTTTGAGGCAAAAAGCAAGCCTGACCCACCACCCAGCACAATAAACAATCGAAAACCTTCAAAGTCTCTTTACCTTTCTTTATTGTCTTTCCACCTTTGCTCATAAAGACACTTTAACAGGTAATGCATATCTCGTAACTAATAAGTGGTTTTTTTTCTTACACAATCCTGTAATACAGATGTTGAAAAACCCCATGTAAGAAGATCTGGTTTCTGCAGAAGGGACATGCAAACAGGATTAGACAGGGATTTATTGCAGAGGCTGCCAGCTCTGCTTTTTAACATTGCCCTTCTTAGATGCAGGCACTGACAGGGCCTTGATGGCATTCGTGGTGCCACCTCAGGAGAGATTTTCCTTGGTACGATTCTTCGATTTCACATTCCCACACTTGATTGTTTTCTATGCACTTTGTAAGCAGTGACAGACTCCTGGAAAAATCCTGCCAAAGATTTCTAGACAAGCAATGGAGAATACATCCAAACATTTGCTAGCAAAATTAAGGCAAAGAAAAGGTCATTGGGGCTGAGAAACACAGTTACCATGTAACCCACTACAAAGTCCTGAGCTGTTAACAGCTTGTTTTCTCAGGGAAACAACTTTTGGTTTAACAGATTTGATTTCTTCCAAATCAAAACTAGCAGCACAATAACAAGTGCTTGTAACCTGCTTCCTTCTGCTCCCTGCTAGGACCAGTTCAAGAAGAGCAAAGAAGCCCTACCTCCTCTTTGGTGAAGGCTTAGGACACCAGATCTGTTTTGGAATACAAACAATTTCATTTGCTTAATCAAATGACCTTTATATGTAACAGGCGAGAAGTGTTAGAAGATGCAGAGGACGAGCTTAATTTATGATCCGGTGAATAGGTTGGTCCACTGCCTTTTACCACAGCAGCAGCACCAAGGGCACCCTCTGAATAAAACGTAATTAATTATGATAATGGTTTCCAGTTTGGCAAGCATTCATACTACAATCCTACAGTAGTAGAATAACAATCATAGATAGTAGTTTACATGCATTCATCTCACTGTAAGCCCTCAGCAGCGCAATACAGCCAAAATGAGTCCAGAAGCATCTCACTGGAGGAGCAGCCAGCCAGAATGCCTACACTAAAACACAAATAGCAGGAA